TCATGCATGCTTTATTTAGTCCTATAAGAAAGATAGGATATGGATGAAAGTTAGTACTTCAATAGCCCACAGTTTGATCCATCATAAGATTAATCACAATATATATATATATATATATATATATTAAATAATTGCATGCAAAAGTAGTCTACTATGACTTATGCATATGTTTTTGACTTAGTGGTTTGGGCTTAAGATTGGCTAAATTATTTAGGAAAATTGTATCAGAAGGTTGTACTTCTTACTATTATTTTCATTTATAAATTTACTTTGGATCCAAGGTCACAACTTACTATTTTGTTATCTTATATATATATATATATATATATATATATATTGTGTATCCAGCAGTTCTTTTTTTTTCATTCTATAAAACTTTACAGTGATTTATTAAAATAATAAGATTGTGTTTTTGTCTACCTTAATTCATTTTTAAACTCTCAACATGTTTTTATGAAGCCAGTCTATTTTCATTAGCTGAGTTAATGTTTGTAAAACTCCATGTAATTAAAGTATGGAGATCCCAGTCCAGTTTAAAAGTCATTATTTGCCACAGCATTATCTCGTATCATTTGGTAAATTTTATATTAAAAATTCAAATTATGCTGAAATGTAACATAAGAGAAATACCTTTGCTTTGTATGTATACATGCATTTTATGAGTAGTTGTTTTTTTTAAAGTTGCATATTAATATCTGAAGATCATGTGCTTTTGTGTTTAAGGAATTACAAATACTTCAACTTTTAAAATGTGTTTTATGGTGATTATTGTACCACTAGATATATTTCATGTAGTGGTTTGAAGAAAAATTGGAAGTAATTGCATTTGTCAGGCTAAATACTTTTTACTTTTTGTCATCTGAATTTACATACATGGTTATGTATATAAAAGTGATCACAGACTGAAATGAAATATTTATAAGCTGATAAGTTTTGACCATTAGAATTTGTTTGAGATATGATAAGCTCACTTTTTTTGTTGCATGTCAAAAGAATCCACTCAAATTTCAAATCTGTAAAATCATAGTGTGACAAAAAATTGTAATTTGTTTTTTAATAAGCACCAGGCAACCCCAGCACAAAGTTCACGTCCTATAAACTTGACATCTGAACAGTTGGAAAAGCTTAGAAAGGAGCTAGATGTCGTGCAAGTGAACATGAATGTATTTGGAGAGATGTTGACAGGAATAACATCAGGGAAAGAGGAAGCCAATGACTGGGAGCTTGTGCAGGTAAAAAACTTTGGAACTTCTTGTATAGTTTATTAGTCACGACCATATTATAAATCTCAATAAAAATCTTAAGTAGTACTGTTTTGTGATTAGTACTTTGTCTTAATAGGATGTATGTCAAACTTGTCGAGCTATGCAGAGCCGTATAGTAGATCTGATAGGCCAGGTTGCCAATGAAGAAGTTACAAGTAAGAATACAGTCTATAAATATCACCTTCTGTAGGTAAACTATTACTTACTGTGTTTATTATTATTATTTACAGTAACTGGTTTTCAGTTGCATTCACAGAAAACATTAGTATTTCTTTTAACACCATTTTTATTTTTGATACAAAATAAGTAGCAGTAAACAATTTTTTTTTTCTAATGTACAATGTTGATTGGTAGAATTTTGAAATGTAATAATGTTCTTTACTGACACCAAGTTTTAGGACTTAGAAATAAAATTCCTCAGATTTAGTTCTTTTACTTGTAACTATAGATTTTTTTTTATTGTACCTTTTTTTTCTCGGCAAACTCTGACGAGATTTCTTGTTATTGACAGTCTTCTAATAATTCACATGGTCAGTGCAGTAACTTCCTGAATTCAACTCACTAGAAGGAAAATAAACAACATGAAAAACTACATTGAAGTGGTGTCTTACCAACACATATTAACTACAAAAAATATTCAGTAGATGAACAGAAAATCTGTTTTGTTTTTGTTATAGAATTTTGTAATTACATACAATGGTTCCATTCTTCTGAACTTAACTACTTATTATGTACATGCTAGTGTGGTTAATAAAAGAGGAGACATAATGAAGATTTATGAAAGTGACTTAGTTTTTAAAGTATAGTAAAAGTTAATTGTTGGCACATGTAAAGTGTCTCAGGCTATATGAGGAGCATTTTTCACCTAATTCTGAACACAACATACTTTTTTTTTTTTTGCAGAATGGGAAACAATTTACTTTAAATATGTTTTTCCAAATAGAATGTGCTATTTCCCAGCTTTTATATTACATCAGAATATATTCATATACAGTAAAAAAAAACATAATGTCCAAATAAAACCCTCTGTTGGTTATGAATTTGATCTGAATTGAATGCTTTCTTACACCCAATAATGATTTCTATTTCTAACTTGCTGCTACTTATTAAAAAAAAAAAAAGTTTTACTGCTTTATAAGAGGAATATTAAGGAAACTGGTCTGTTCATTTGGGATCATTCTGACACTTTAAAGGTCTAATAATAACCACAAAGTTTATTGTTTTACATTTGAGTGTAAAAAATTAAGTATAGATAAACTTAGGATTGTGTGTTAATGACTATTTTTATGCCTGTTTTAATGCTTGTAGCCATATTTTGAAATATTAAACAGTGTTGTTTTATTTTGCTGCAAACTGTGTCATCAAAACTAAAGGAGTCTTGACAAGGGTATTGTCTTAACTTACATTTGTTTATTTTTTGTATAGGTGAACTTCTTAGGGTTAATGATGAGCTTAACAATTTGTTTCTTCGATATGAACGTTACCAGAAGAAAAAATCAGGTGTTTGCCAAAATAAACTAGTACAGTCTCTACCAAAACAGGTTGGTATAGAATAAATGATTAAAGCCAGCCAATTCAGAATTATCTAAAACATGTTCACATAAAATAGTGTATCACCCAAAACATGTTCATGTATAATATACTGATACAGCCAATGTACAATTTTAGCCATTATAGAATTTTTTTTTTTTTACAACATTTTCATCAAAACCAATTAGCTTGGGTTCTTTTAAAATAATAGTTTGGAATATGTGTGTTTGGTTTTTTTTATCAGCTTTGTTTCTTTTGTGTATTACCTTATATGCCACTTCAGAATTTTCTCTCTAATGTAAGGAAAATGAAATGGAAGAAAAACCTCTGATAGACTTTCGGGACAATATCACTAGTAGTGATGATATCCATGTTCAACTTGCAGGAATGAGTAAGTTGTAGAAATTGCTTATAATATTTGATAGCTGTACATGTGTAATAGGAGTTTATACAAAATTTTTTTACTTGTAAAATAAGTTGTTAAATATTGATATATTTTTCTCTATTTTGCTTTTACAAATGGATTCAAACTAAGTCAGTGGAATTCAATTTTTCTATGCATATATATAAACACACACACAATCTCTTTGATATTCTGTGAGTTTTATTTCAAAAGCAGGAGAAAAATTAGGAATTTTCCCCTGGTGGTTAACATCATTTTAGTAAATTCCATATATATATATTTGAAAATTCAGAAACAGGTGTACATTGTCAAATCATTAAGTTTGTATTTTATGGTGTATTTGAATTTTACTTTTTTTGCTTATGAATTTTAGACCATGTGTTTACTGTAATGTTTTAATTGCATTTTACGTATGGAGATTATAATTTATAGGAAGACACTGTTATTCTGTATTTTAAAAAATAATTATTTTCTCCATTTAAGAGCATAAAGATAGTATAAATTTTTTTGGAATTAGCATCTTGACTTCTTTTTTTAACCAGGCACAAGCTCAGATAATGCTACCAGTGCTGTTAGCCAAATCACAACAGTATCAGCTTATAACAAACTACAACCCTCAAACTTAACAGAAAGTGGTGAATTTGACATGTTTGCCCAGTCTCGAAATGTTTCATATGAGCAAAGCAAGATAAGGTAAGTTAGCAGCAGTCTTTCTGTCCAGTTTATTATTTATAAAGTAAAACTGAAGAATTATCACAAAACCTCACACTAGGAAAAACAGCTGTAAATTCTAAATACATCAGGGTACAAAAATATGAATATATTGTTCTGAATGTCACAGAGAAACATACATATATAAAATACTGATATGGTAGTTAAATATAATAATAAATTTAATAAGAGGGAAGTGTTGACCTCAGCTTCATTAGTGTATAAGTCGTGTTTTCTTTCCAACTTAATACAACTCTGTGAATTGTTCTCAACTTCTACCCAACTTACCACTACCAGTTAAATGTTTTAAATTTCTTCTCAACTTATCACAGCATTGTGAATTGTTTTAATTTCTCAATTCACCACAGCATCGTAAGTTATATAACTTATTTTCATTTCCCTTCCAACCTACCATAGCTCTGTATAGATTGTTTTCATTTCTTTTCCCAACCAACAAAGACCTTGAATTGTTTGTAATTCACATAAACAAAAAAAATACTGATTTACATATGTTTAGAAACTATGTTCCAAGTTTTATGCAAGTTGGTGTAGCAGTGTGAATTAAATGTCATTTTTGGTGAAAATTGTGAAACCGATCTATTTTTACTTACACAACATTCTGAAGGTTAAACTATTTTAAATTGTGAATCCTAACCATTGTCTTGCATATGATTTGAGTAAAGCTTCTACATGGCTTAACTGTATGTGAGCTATTTAATAAATTTGAATGTGGGAAGCATTTCCTGATTTTTTTTCTTTTCTATCCATTGTGGTCATTAATTTTACCTATT